GGTGCTCGGGGACGGAGTCTTTGCTCCTCCAGGCCAGCATGTTATCTGCCGCATGCACAGGTGACCTGGGCAGCACAGAACCATTTACTCATCCGTAATCTAAACAGTTCCTGGGAACCAAAGGCTGTTTTTACTTCCTGTGACAGTCTTTTCCTCACCCAAAGTGTCCTACTCTTCTCCAGAACTGTGCCATCAAGGGTTCCCTCAGCAGGACTGGGTTACCCACACCTTGCACGTTCCAAAGACAGGTCTGGCCCTGGCCCAGCCCCTGGGAGATGACCTCTAACCTCTAAGCCCTTGGAGTGTCCTGTCTGGTAAGAGTGTCTATTTTGCTGGAGGTCTTGGGCCACAAGAGAGTCTGTGCTAATGATATGATTTTTGGTGGGGCCTTGGGCCATGTGGTATCAGCTTGACCTCTGGAGGGATTGGGAACTAAGGTCAACTGGGTGGGCAGTCAGCCATGCCTGTGTGATCAACTCCCAATAAAAACCCTGGATGTTCAGGCTCAGGCAAGCTTCCTGGCTGGCCCTACTCCATGCGTGTTGTCACACATGGGAGGATTCACTGCTGCCTGCACGACTCCACCAGGACAGGGTGACTGAAAGCTTGCACCGGTGTCTTCTGGCCCCTGCCCTCAACTCCTTCTCTTGCTGCTGACTTTTGTCTGTGTCCTTTCATTGTACTAAGCTGTGATTGTGAGTCACAGCCTTGCTGAATTTTGTGAGTCCTTGTAGTGAGTCACTGAGCGTGGTGGTGGTCTTGGGGACCCCCGAGCATGAGAGCCCACTCTCTGAGGCAGCGGACAGCTATAGAGCACCTCCTGTACCTCAGCACCAGTCCTTAGCCCAGCTCTGCCCACACTGCCCAGCTCCACTTATGCCCTCCAGGCCTCCCAGGCCCTGTGGAGGACCTTCATAACCCACACGTGCACCGCCTTCCACGGAAAAGCCCAGGCATCTTGTCCGTACAGCCCCAGCCCTCATGGGCTGCCCCTTTGATTTAACTCCAAGTAACATCCCAGGTACCGGGTGACATCCTGGGAACCAGGTAACAGCCCGGGAACCAGGTAACATCCCCAGAATTAGGTAACACCCTGGGAACTGGGTGATGTCTCAGGAACCAGGTAACATCCCAGGAAGCAGGTGACGTCCTGGGAACTGTCCTGGGAACCAGGCAACATCCCAGGCACCAGGTGACATCCTGGGAACCAGGTAACATCCTGGGAACTGAGTGATGTCTCAGGAACCAGGTAACATCCCAGGAAGCAGGTGACGTCCTGGGAACCAGGTAACATCCTGGGAACTGAGTGATGTCTCAGGAACCAGGTAACATCCTGGGAACTGAGTGATGTCTCAGGAACCAGGCAACATCCCAGGTACCAGCTGACATCCCGGGAACCAGGTAACATCTCCAGAACCAGGTGACATCCCAGTGCCCCCCCAGGCCTCACCTGCCGATGACCTCGATGTTGGAGATGGCATAGAAGTACTTGTAGAGGTTCTCCCGCTGCACGTAGGTGCCACCCAGTGCTGGGCGCAGCAGCCGCAGGCGCAGGTCCGTGAGGGTGAAGAAGTCCTTGAGGCCCTTGGCGCTCTCCAGCCGCGTGTACAGGTTGTCCATGTTGCGCAGGTCGGGGCCGGCGAAGATGGCGAAGCGGTCCCGCACCTCGAAGCGGACGTGCTTCTCCTTCTTGGAGCCCGCCCAGCGCGAGTAGTCCTCGGTGCAGAGCACCCGGTGGGCGCTGGAGGACGACATGTCGCGGGCCCGGCGGGCGGACATGCCAAAGGCCTCCATGCAGTCCTCGGCGTAGAACTGGTAGGGCTGCCACGTGCGCCCGTTGTCCAGGGACTTCTCAAGGACCATGACCGTGGGCCGGCCGTACTCAAAGGTCATCACCACGTCATCCGTCAGCTCCACGCTTTTGTTCCACGAAAGGGTGATGTTGGCTTCCAGCGGGCTCGGGTAGCGGCTCCACGTGATGCTCTGCCAGTAGGTGGCCAGCCCCTCGTCCTCCCTGTCGAACATGAGCCGGGGTGGGTGGGCCAGGTCCGGGTTGGAGGCGTCACACTCGTTGCTGCACAGGTAGGGATTCTCCTGCAGCGGGGAGAGAAGGGAAGGGTGGGCGCCGGCTGCTCAGGAGGGCCCAGGAAGCCACCGCCCAGCCTGGCCCTGCCTCTGTGCCCAGACACTGCCTGGTGGTCACGGAACCTGTGCTACCACGTCCAGACATCAGGAAGAGGCTCTGGGTGGGTAATTTGCACCCATTTCCCCAAAGCGGGTAGAGGCGCACAACTCTATGGCTTCCCAGGAAAACATGCGCTTGTTTCGACTGTAAGTGCAGACAATCTAGAAGGGGGGGTGTTAGTCCCTGCTCCAAAGTCCCCCACGGATTCCCCCTGCCTGGAGGATTAAGGTCTAACTCTAACTCAAGGACCCCGATCTGTCCTCCCACCACACCTGGGGACACCGTACCTGGGCCTTCCAGGACTTGGCCCAGTCGAGCAGTCCTGTCCTCCAAGGCCTGCTAGTCCAAGCCTCTGAGCCTTTGCAGATGGCATCCCCTCTCCTTGGTGCACCCTTCCACTCTGGGTCCGCCTTGAAAATTTCTACTCACGGTTCTTGACTCTAGACATCTACGGCGAGGCAACTTCCTGACCCTTTAAACAATGCCACTAGGGTTGGTGAAGACACGGAGGTGCTGGGAGGTGGCTGCCCAGAGGGGACATGGGCGCTCCGTGCCCCTCCCCCATACCTTGCCCTTCGCGTCTCTTTCACTTGGCTGTTCCTGAGTACTATGCGTTATAATAAACTGGGAAACATAAGTAAAGTGCTTTCCTGAGCTCTGTGAGCTGTTCTAGCAAATTGTCAAACCTGAGAAAGAGGTCACTGGAACCTCTGACTTACAGTCAGTGGGTCAGAAGCACTGGAGGTGGGAGCAGTCTGGTGGGACCGAGGCCTTAACCGGTGGGGTCTGCGCTAACTCTGGGCAGTTAGTGTCAGAAATGAACTGAATCACTGGATACCCGGTTGGTATCCAGAGGGTTGGAGAATTGGTTGCTGTTTCAGAAAACCCCCCACGTGTTCGGTGTGAGAAGTATCCTTGACGGACAGGCCAGAGAGACACTGGCAAGGAATGCAGGGTGTTGTCCCTTGCTGGCTCGCTCTCTGCCCATGTGCCCTCCTGGTTGCGTCCGGCCACAGTGGCCTCACTGTGCCTAAGGCTGGGACCCACTGCCCAGCCCAGCAGGGACCAGCTGTGGCACACCCTCCATGGCAAATCCAATCCAATCCCATGTCTGGTCCACCATGTGAAGTCACCCCAGAGACCTGAACGTGTCACTAATGTGGTGGTGGCCCAGGGTCAGAGGGCATTTTTAGGACAGTGAAACTACTCTGTAAGATACTGTAATGGTGGACGTATGACATTATGCATATGTCAAAACTCATCGAGTGTACTGCACAGAGTGAACCCTCATGTAAACTGTGGCTTTTAGTTAATAATAATTTACTGACATTGTTCATCAAATGTCGCAAATGTCCCACACTAATGCAAGATGGTGGAGGTGGGGGACCGTGTGAGGAGCGGGCGGGGAAAGGCGCGTATTAGGAACTCTTCCATCCGGTCAATTTTCTGTATACCTAAAACTTTACTGACATTGTTCATCAAATGTCGCAAATGTCCCACACTAATGCAAGATGGTGGAGGTGGGGGACCGTGTGAGGAGCAGGCGGGGAAAGGCGCGTATTAGGAACTCTTCCATCCGGTCAATTTTCTGTATACCTAAAACTGCTCTTTAAGCTAAAGTCTGTTAATTAAAAGGAAAAGAAAACACTGTCACTCACAACCACACAGCACCCCAGACCACTGGCAGCCCTTTTTTGATGAATATTTCAGGTGTCTGGTTTGCTCAGAGACAAAATGGCTTGGATCTGAGTTAAAGCCTCTCACTTGCAAATGAGCCACCACCCCCGCCCCCGCCCCCTGGGGTCGTGGGCGCATGGCCTTCTGAGGGACTGAGCTGGCGCCCCCGCAGGAGCCACTGCAGCTGGCCTTAGGCATGGGCTTTGATCCGCTGTGGTGGAGGACAGGCTCTCAGACCACCCAGGGCTCCTCGGTGGGCAGGGCTGGCCCTGGGGTTCACTGAGGCAGGCTCCACAAAGCCCTCCTTGACCAGAATAGCTCTGTCCTCTGTCCCCCGTGGTGCCGTTATCCATCCCACCTGGCCTGGCCCTGCTGATTTACGGGATCTGCAAGCCTCGGGGTGGAAGGAGCTCACCATCAAGCCCAATATCTCACTGAGCAGGAGGGGAAATCGAGGCCCAGGGCAGGACTGGCCCGGCCTTCTTGAGAAGGAGATGAACTTCTGAGATGAGCCCATGCCTGCCCTGCACAGCCTTGGTGACACCCTCACTGCCAGCCCATGGGGGGTGCTGGTTCAGCTCGTGGGCATCTAGTGGCTCTGGTCAAGTCACGCCCCGTCCTGCGCCGTTGCCCTGAATGGGGAAGTGATGAGATGCCCCGTGGGGCTGACTCCATGGCCTGCAGGCCTGGCGATGAGAGAGTAGCAGGCCACTGGGGCTGCAGCAGGCAGGCTTGGCCTAGGAGAGAAAGTCCCCTCCCAGTCCCTGTGCCAGCTGGCACCAGCGAAGTGCGCTCTGAGCCCAGAGGTTGGACAGGCTCTGGTTGTGCCATTGGGGAGGAGGAGTGGCAGGCAGACACCCTGAGAGCTCACACTGGACACTGGGGGCAGGAGGAAGGGGGCATCCAGGTTCGGAGCCCTCCCCTCCCCACAGCCCAGCAGCCCCAGCTGCCTTCTTCTGCTGCCCCTGGAGCCTCGGTACAGGCTGAATTGTGCCCCCCCAAGTCAGCTGTTGAAGCCCCAACCCCCAGTACCTCAGAATTGAGTGTATTTGGAGATAAAGTCTTTAAAGAGGTGATTAAGCTTAAATGAGGTCCTCATGGTGGGACCTAGTCCTATCTGACTGATGTCCTTACAAGGAGAGGAAATTCGGACACACAGAGAAGCACCAGGTGTGCACGCAGAGAAGAGGCCGTGCAAAGGCGGCCAGCTGCGCGCCCAGGAGAGAGGCCCCAAGAGAAACTAAACCTGCTGGCACCTCGACCTTGGACTTCCAGCTCCAGAACTGTGAGAAAATAAACTTCTGCTAAGCTCCCCAGTCTGGGTATTTTGTTACTGTGGCCTGACTGACTAAGACATGCCTCATCCCGGGTGAGCACAGGGCAGGGCGGGCAGGACAGCTCCGAGGACCAAACCCACTGCGAGTGTTTGGTGCTCCCCAGAGGCTCTCTCTGCAGCCTCTCCCACGACCTCACTTCTCCGCATGCTGGACCAGGTGCTGCCTCACCTACCTGGGAAGTTCCTGTTAGCCCAGCACGGATGCTGTGCCTTTTCCCAGGCTGCTTCGTCCCCTGTCGCCTCAGTGCTCCTGCTCCTTCAGACACTGTCCCTCCCCCCGGTTTTCAGATCCTCCCCCATGCACCTCCTCCAGGAAGCCCTCCTTACCCGACCCAGTCTTTGCACCCAGCTCCCTCATCACGGACCTGTTAGCGTTCTCCTCTGGGACAGGTTAGTGAAGCCTCCACACAGGGCCTCAGTAACTGCCCACTACGTTATAGTTATTAATATCACATATTAATTAGCTATTAACATGAGTACAGTGACAATCGTATTAATATTTGTATATCTCATATTGAATGTTGATATTATTCCTGTCAATCCCCAGCTGCTGTGAGTTGCTCACACTTCGCCTTCTCCCTGGTCTCTCTTTGTCCCCTACCCTACCATCCCCCACCCTGCCTATCTCCTGGTGATCCCCACTGGGGGGTGGGTGGCACGTAAGATCCCTCAAAGCCCCCAGCTGCGCCCAGCCTGTCTGTCACCGGGAAGATGGACACAGCTGGCTCTGCCAGGGGACGGAGGCTCCGACCTGGCTGCCACCCGTGCTGCCCTGACCTGCAGGGCCCACTGGCCCCCGCCCCTGGCCCGGGAGGCAGATGGTCAGAAACTAATGAATCAGCCTGTGTATTCACCAGCCCCCTGCCTGCTGCAGAACGGGCCGGAGCAACAGAGGGAACGAGAAATAAATCCCAAGCCTCCGCCAGCACAATTCTCTCTATTTCTCTCTCTCTCTCCTCACTAGCTCCCTGAGTTAGGAGAGTCACCCATTTTCTTTGAGCCTGATGGGGTCCAGGATGCGCTACCCCCAAATATTTTAAGCTGAAGGGTTCTAAGAAAACTGCAGAAGCAGGAAAGTCAATCTCTGACCTTCCCCACCCTTCTCCCCTGAAGCAGATCGTAAGACCCTCACCCAGAAGGTGACCGCCCTGGACCCCCAGGAAAGGAACATCCTTATCTCTGAAGATCCAGGGACATAGAGAAGATTCTCAGCACACGGGCCTTGCTAAGTTCCCCCAGTTCATCACCATTAGATGAAATCTTTTTTACCCAACCATATTTCTCCATGACGATCTACTTTTTAATCAAACCTAGCATAAAAGTGCACAGGTTTATCTGTTTCTTTGGGTCTTCATTCCTTGACAAAGCTCCTGTGTCATGTAAGAATACTAAATTAATCTATACACTTTTCTCTCCTTACCCTGTCTCTTGTGCTAGGGGCCTCGTCCAAGAGCACAGGACAGATGAGGAATAAAGAGTTCCCCTTCCCCGCCAGCCTCAGTTTCTCCTCTGAGGGGTGAGCTCGTGAGGGCAGCAACTTCATCTGCCCCTGTCCCCACTACAGCCCCAGCCCCTGGCACTCCCCAGGGACTCTGGAAATCGTCATGGAATGAATGAAAGTCCAGTGAGGTTGGTAACACTGACTTCCCAGGCTGCTGCAAGAATTACACTGGGTACCACATGGCAGGTGCCTCGTGTGGTGACGAGTGGACGATGAGTGTCGGGAGAACATCCCTGACCATCTCTGGCCTCACAGCTTCAGCAAACAGCCGGACCTGCCATGCAGGGGTCACTCCTTCCCATCCAGGCCTGTGCTGAGCACCCCAGACACCACATCCCGCCGGCTGCTCACAGGAGTCCCAGAGGAAGGGATCCTTTCATTGACATGCCACGACA